GGGGGGGGGCTTTCGTGAATTTTTCTTTTTTTTTTCTTTTTTTTTCGTTAACAATTTTGAAAGAGCTCCGATTTACCATGACGCTACAGCGCTTAAATTATTTATTTTCTCGTTCGGGGAGAGTTCGACTGGGCTCGCGAAACAAAGTCACGCCTTCGCGATACTCGGACCTGCGTAGTTTCGCCATAAAAGCAGATTATCCATTAATTCGAATTTCACTGGAATAAAGAGACAAACAAAAGAACAAAAACAAAAAACAAAAAAAGGATAAATGACGCGACACGAGGAATTTAATAATAACGATTATTAACAAATTTTTCAAGATGATGACGACGTTCGCCCTCCTATGCGCCATTTCCCCGCGACATATCTCTCTGTCTGTCTAATTGACGAATCGCGAACAGGATAAAACTGCGATTATTTGTCGTGGCTGTGGAGCCGGGCGAATGGGCAACGACGCGAACGGAAAGCTCTCGAGGAAAAGGTCGCGGCGCTGAACGATTACGTGCTCGAGTCGGCGTACCTGCAGGATTACCGAGCTGCCGGCGCTCAGGTTTTGCTGGCTATTGTTGCTGTTCCTCTGTATATCCTGAAGGAACTGCAGAGCGAGAGCCTCGTTAGTGGCCGAGGTCGCCCCTTGGCTCCTCTGTATGACGTATCCGGGCTGGGCGCTTTGGCAGGAGCACTCGATGCCCGGGCTCAGCTGCTGGTAGAGATTCGTCTGGACCGGACCGTGGGCATGGGTGTGCACCTGCACCGGGTGCTGCTGGGTCTGGATGGCGTGGGCGTGCACCTGCACGGGCTGCTGCGTCTGTATGGGTAGGGTATGGACGGGGGCGGCCTCGTGCGCGTGAACGGGAAGTGTCGCGTGGGCGTGAACCGGCAGGTTGGCCTGGCCGTGTATGGTGAGGCCGCCGTGGGGTGGGTGGCCCCCGGTCCCGTGTCCGCTCGTCTGGATGCTGCTGGGCAGGTGGATGACCTGGACGCCGGAGGCGCCGCCGCCGCCCGAGTGAATAACCGTCGGGAGCTGGGGCGCGCAGTTGCCCGTGGGCGCGTACACGACCTCGCTGGGCGGCTGGATTACGTAGGCCGCCATCTCGGGCTCGCAAGGCACCTGGATGTTAATGGGTGGCGGTGGCGGCGGCGGCTGCTGGGGTATAACGATGGGCGGGGGCGGTGGCGGCGGGTGCACGTGGATCTCGGGTAAGGGCTCGGGTAAGTGATGTATAGGGGGCGGCGGGGGCGGTAGAGGCACGTGGGGCCTGTGGATCTCGTCGCAGTCGACCTGGGTGGGCTTGTTGTGCCGGATCTCCACGCAGAAGGTCGTCGAGGCTTGCTTCTTAGCCCGATCGACCTTGGCGCCCGGCGATGCCTCCATGATGGCCTCGTCGCTTATCTGGGCGGCGTCGAGCCTCTGGCTGACTTGGGCCGCCACGGCCGCGGACTCCGAGATTGACTTCTTCTCGAGCTTCCTCGCGAGCGGGCCCGCGGCGGCGATGCTCGCGAGCCCGACGAACAGGATGCAGCACGTGGCGGTGCGCATGTCGGTGCTCCTCGGTATGGCGTGGAACCTTGTGGGATCCTTGGGGCTCTCCTCGACGAAGGAGAACGCACTGATGTCGGGGCCGAGGCTCGCGGGCCCATTTAAAGCCAGCGACGACGACCGGCCGATTTTCGCGTCCGGCTGACGCGACGGCATTTCGCAACTCCTTGCGCCTTTTCTCGCTTTATTTTTCCACGGTCAGGCGGGATTTTCCGCGCCACTTGCTGATCACGCGTTGCCGCAACGAAGATGTTCCGCATACGTACGAAAGTTTTTAATGACAAATTCGATTTATTACGTTTTGTTTAGCATTTTATAACCACGCCACGGCCCGCGTTGTTTGCTTTCTTGTGTAATTCCGAGCGCTTGAGTTTAGTTCGCATTCCAATCATTAATGCGGACGTATCACTCTCGTTTTTAAACAAAAGTGCGCGTACTTTGTCTATTATGCGCACGGGCATCATCCGCCTATGCTCGTATTTTCATTCGGCGAATCCTCGATCGACGTTCCCATGTAGCTCCGATAAGCGAGTCTCTGCATCTGCATTCGTCATACCTTCATCTCCTTTTCGCTACGTTTATTTTTTGCTACGAAAATATTCCATTCGCACCCCACATCTCCACCCTCCTCAAGAGGCGTTTTTTTTTTTTTTTTTTCTTAAGCCATTTATCATTAGCCAAACTTTGTCAAAATCAAGTCATTATCAAGACGAAAAGACCTAGGAATTATCAAATATATCGAGTATCTCGAATCTCGGGCAATTAAATTATTATTCCATTCAAAAGGAAATTGTAGGAAATTGTAATATTAGCGGGACATAAATTCGTCGAAGCTTGATTATTAATATTTTGCGTCAAAGTTTGCGTCTTAGTAGATGTATGATTTAAATAGTGGGTCGGCCTTTTTAATTTTCAAAGTCTGGACAATGAGAGAAATTCAGTATATTGATAAGTACAAGAATCAAGATTTCTTTACCTATAAAAGCATTATGCGAGAATGGTTAAGTTGCGCAACGCTTGGTAAGTTACATATTTTGAGTGTCTTTTGGCAGAAAATTGCAAAGAAATTATGTCGATGGATTAATTATTAATATAATCAAATTCAATACTACTTAAGTTTTAATTTATTTTGATTTAAAAAGTGTGTATGATGTAATGAATAATATTGACAAATGTTTTAGTCGCCGATCAAATTTGTTGAATAAAATAATCGACGAAACAATATTTAAAAATAAATGTATTAATGTTTGTAATGTGAAATGATTGCTTTAGTATGAGAAATTAGGCCTACTAGACTGCTGTTAAATTTTCAAATAATTCCTTCAATCACGTATTGTACAATTTTTCTAATATCATATAATTAAATGAAGTATTAACAGAGCAGTTAAATTATTATTTGAAAAATATCAATCACATCTTCTATGCTACTCTGTAGAAAGCAATTTTTCATATAAGAAAAAATCGTATCGTTGAAGATTATCTTACATTTTTTTTTTTTTTTTTTTTTTTTTTTTTTTTTTTATAATTTAACCAATGCTTGTAGAAATATAGAAAATCTTGAATTATATATGAAGTAAAAGAATTCGCAAACATTTAACGTGTTTTTCGTAACGAATTTTGTAAAGGAGTCTATCTCTATTAAGGGGAGAACGGCGTTAAAATAATGTTAACTTTGAAAATTTAATGCACAAACATAATTTAAAAACAATAATTATGTCATAAGTAATTATGCCAAGGCATATGCAAAAATTTATAAGTAGTAGCTTTATTAATTATTACACAATTGGGTATTTATTTACAAATTTTATTTTCAATTTCATCTTTGTTTCTGATATAATCCAAAGATGATTAAATAAAAATATTTTGACATTAATTAGTAAAACAATCGATCGTTGACATATTAAATATTGTGATTTTATGACAGAAATTCGAGGCTATCAATAGAGTTTTTTTTTTATTTTTTTTTTTTTACTTACCAGATTTGACGATCTGATTGATGCTTATGAATAGTAAATGCGAGTAACAGAATTACAATATTTGTAAAATGATAAGAATTTAAAATGATAACTATTTACAATTTTCTTGAGCGCTCCCAATGGTTTTCAGCGTAGTTTATTATTTATCTTTGTTACGTCATTATTTTCATTTACGTAAGTCTGTCTTCGACTGTTCTTGATGGCCGTTTAATGTTGTAATCCCAATGGGCCCATGTTTCCAAAGAAAAAATTTATATTGCATTCGTTTCTATATTGTAATTTTATAATCGTTTTACAATATAATTAATTAATTGTTAGCTTAAACATGAATATAAATTTCTCATCTTGAGACATTTGATTTTTATGAAATAGACAGATTTTTGATGACGAATTAAACTTTGAATTTTGTTAATAAGATCAAATTAATGTGAAAAATTAATCAAAATTATAAATGCAGTCAATATTAATGAAGTAAATTAATACGATAAATACATAGAAGATAGGAATAGGAAAATTCAGTAAATGGAATTCAAAATTTTAACCGCTTATTATTAAGTCCTGGCATAAAAAATATAATACTAACCGGGTGTTTTTATCGTATTATGCAATAATGTTAATTCAAATTTTTAAATAGTATATAAAAGATTTTTCTGGTCAATTATGAAAAAAAAATTATTGCCCGAACTCACCTAATTAAGCTCGTTGTATTTAACAAATGCTGAGCCATTAAATTCCACGAATTATTGCATTATCACGGACAACGAATGCGCGTGTGTCATGACGCATACGAACACGAATCGTATGATTTGATAAGAGATATTCTATACAAAATTAAAAGCTTAAAAAAGTTATGATCTTAATGTTCTTAGAAGGTGAAAATTGGCATTAAGGAGATACGATGGGATAGAATAGCTTAACATCATTCCATTATCATATAATTTTATTGACAACAATGAAAAAACTCACTACACAATAATAATAACAGTAGAGGCATAATAAAAGAAGGTTTTGAGTAATATTTACGATTACCACCTTAAATTACCACAAGCATAGATCCACTCATTTCACATGTGCTCGTACATTGCAATTTACAAACATTGTTTAAAAAAGTAACTTCTACATACACGCATTAGAATAACATGACAATTAATTATTATTAATAGACAGCTTAATTGAAAGTGTAATAATTTAGGGTATTTTAGCACTCGCAACGCGATCCTCGATCGATATTTCTCAACGCTAGGAGAACGTCTGCCCATTAAAATAAAGTATCGCACGATCGTCTCCTCCTCCCCCTTCTCCCTTAGCGTTCACGTTCAGACCTTTACACACTTTTACACGATCGAAAATCCGCTCGTGCCTCGTTGTCGCTCAGCACTAGGACTTCTTGATAGGCGCCTCCTTGGCAGGGCCAATATCGGCTACTGCTGGCTCCGTGACCGTCCGGGGCGGTTGAATGTCGTCGACGAGGTCCACCACCGCTGGTCTCCGTCCCTCCGCGAGCTTCGTCTCCTCGTTCACATCCTCGAGAATGTCGCTCCTGGGCACGGACTTGATGGCCACCCACTTGTTCTGATCGAGGCCGGGATTTCGACTCTCATCGATATCCTCGCGCAGTGCGTACGGTCCCTCGTCCACTCGCTGGTGCTGGGACTGCTGAGTATCAGCGTCCTGAATCTGCGAGTATTGTCGTTTTTGGTATTGTTGTAGTTGTAGTTGTTGTTGCTGCTGTTGCTGTTTATGTTGTTGTTGCTGTTGTTGCTGTTTATGTTGTTGTTGCTGATGCTGCTGCTGTTGCGGCTGCTGCTGCTGCTGCTGATAATGATGATGATGATGATGCTGATGTTTGGTACGTTTCTCGAGAGCATTGTCGTGGTTGCGCTGCTGGCGCGCGATCTCTATCGCCTTACGTATCACAGTTTCGAGCTCGCGCTCGGAGATCTGATTCTCGTCCAACGGCTCTTCCGGCTTTGTAGCGTCCGCCCGGTACACCACGTACAGCCTTTCGCGACCCCGGCGCTCGCTCTGAAGCCAATAACAAAGGCAAAGGGGCATCGAGAGTGAGTTAGAGAGAGAGAGAGAGAGAGAGAGAGAGAGAGAGAGAGAGAGTCTGAATGCTGATTTTATAAAGGCCTTGCGGTTGAGTGGTAATCGATTGGTGGTAGACGGTGGGGCAGAATGGGGCTCGTTCTTACCTCGTCGGGATCGGCAGGTGTCTCCTCCCTGACGTAGGGCACGTAAGTCTTGTACATGTTTGTCGATAGACTCGGCGGCTCCGCGTGCTGTGCGTGGTGGCTGTAATGTCTGCTGACTCTGGGCGCCTCAGCCTCGGACGAGCGCCTGTTGTAAGTGTCGTAGGAGGCATCTTCGTCGAGGTCCTGAGAGTCGTCGAGCTGGAACTTGGGCTCGCAGCCGCACTCGCAGTCGTAGTCGGTGGCGGTAAGTGGCAAGGCCTGGGCCCCCTGGGAGTAAAAGCGCGGTCGGTAGTTTTGGACAGCGTAGGGGCTGCGATTGTATTTGCCGAGGGAGCGGCGCCAGGTCTCGTAGCGGCTCTGCGACTTGGGCAGGAGGTTGAAACTGGCCGGAGCCGAGGGGGGAGAGCAGTCGTAGCAAGGCACCTCGGGGGATGGGCTCGGGACCTGCGGCGAGCTGCACGGCTGCGCAGGAAGACGTGGATCGTACGAGGGCGTAGGCAACGGGGGAGTGTAGGAGGATACCGCGACTGGCAATTGGGAGCTGTAAGATGGTACGATCTGAGGCGATTGATAGGAGGGTATGAGTTGGGGGGGACTGTAGACCGCCGAGGGTTGGAGCGTTTCGTAGGCCGGCTGAGAGACAGGGGGTGAGTAGTGCCCAGCGGACAGCGATTGATAGTCTTCGTTTATCTCTGATCTGTAAGCAAATTTACGTCAATTATTGTTGCCGAGAGTATTATTGTCTTTTGTCGGGATGAGTACGCTTAATGTTGATTGTTGCTTAGGCAGACTAAAGGATTGAAAGCGACAAGCAAGTTTGTTTGCGAATGTCTTGTAATGTTAATTGTTGGATTAAAATTAGTTCCGATCCGAAGGAGGCTGTTATTTCGCATTGAAAGCAATTGTCGTTTATAGGTTGCATTTGTGGCGGATTGATTGGCATTTCCAATGGAGAAAGGCAAAATTTGATCTTTTACATTATTATCGTTGTTTCGAGTAATTTATCAAAGTATTTCAGTACTTAAGTAACATTATCGAACTTCGCGCCAAGAAGCTCTAACATATGTTGAATATACGAATGTTGCGTCGACTTAATAGTGCACACACACGATATACACAATTTGCGTGCATAAATAAACTTATATCTAAATTGTATTTAAAAGGGGAGTGATGAAATAAACAGTTGAAATTGAAATGGTTTGCGTGTTAAACAGCTTTGTTATCTAAATTAGGAAGGTTGAGTAGTTCCAATCGTTTGGCAGCTGTCGAATCGGCAAATTCATACACGCCCGAATAAAACAATTGTGTTTCATTCCGGTAACACTCGTTCGTACAAACCGCGCTGATAATAACGCGCAAAGAAACTTTCATTATCTTTCTAGCTTCTTCTATATCAATAAACAATTAATTGTAGATGGAAAATGAATGGATGATTATCATTACGGCGAATGCTGGATATTTCAGGGTTTGAGGGTCGGAAATCGGAAATTTTTATTAAAATTACTCTTTTCGATTGGCTGCTCGTCACCGTTTTAATTGCCCAAGCAAATTGCCGAAGTAAAGGCCTAAAATTTAGAGGACTATGTCAATAATGCACTGTTATGTGATCGTTTTAGTATATTTCGTCATACCGACTGTGATATTAGTTTGACGTTTATTATTATTATTATTATTATTATTATTATTATTATTATTATTATTATTATTATTATTATTATTATTATTATTATGAGAAAGAGTTATCAATTATAAAATTATAGGTATATAAAAAGTACATGTTTTACCCAAGCAAATATTTCCCGATTCCGAAAATAGTGTTGATGACCTTCAACACATCGTCACTAACCCTACATAATTTCTGACGCCTCGCCCAACTGTCGGGAAAAACAAATGTAAAATTGTCCATTTTAGCAACAAGTTATTTTAGAAAGATATTTATAATAATAATCATTATGCGCGCCGATCCATTATAAAATCTCGAACGATTAAAAACGTCCCCCCGCCCAGCAGAAACAAGCGCCACGGGATGAAGGGGGTTGCGGCAGGGGTTTAGATTAGAGGGTCGGATGGGAGTCGCGCTCGTTCGCGAGGAGTAGTTCGAGGAGACGAGGGGTCGAGGAGGCGAGGAGACCCTCGATCTCGCCTGTATGTACGGCTGCTCCCCTCGATGTCGCACTCACATGGAGTCGCCGGCGAGGTTCTGCGGGCAGTCGCGCGCGCAGTTCGGACAGCGGGGCTGTGGTGCGGGGTTCCTTCGACGTCGTGGCGCGGCGTCGCAGGGCTCGGGGAGCAGCGTCGCCCCGAGGACGAGGATTACGAGGGTGATGAGCAGGACTCCGCTGCCGCGGCACTCCATGATCCTTGGTGGCTGTAGTACGCGGGCCGAGTTGCCGGGAGCTCGGCGCGCGCCCATCTTTTAACAAGTAGGCCGAGCCGCGTTGGGAAATAGCCGTGTTTACATTCTCGTAAGCGGCGTCGTCGATTTGTTTTTCAATACGCGGGAATCGCGGCGCAGAGTCACCAAGGGCTCGCGCTATTTCGCGCAAACGTCGTCGTTCGGCTGATCGCCATCTGTTTAATGACGTGAGCTCTCGGCGATATGATAAATATAATCGACAATGTCGGAAATAGAATGTCGGGGCTCGTGGATGATGAGAAATTTTGTTTGATGTCGAAGGCAATTTGCCTAATAGAAACCTTACAAGTATTCATCTCCATATTATGGATTTATCATTATATTAGCGAATTCCACGCTGGCTGTTTCATTACTTTTTAAATGTCATTGATGGACGATGGCCCTTTTATCATTAATTGCCTAACGATATATGATTTCAGAGCCAAGGGAAACGACGATATAATATCGAAACAATCGTTGGACGTCGTCAAAGATATAATATTATTATTGAAACAACGTAAGTGAGAGAAAGAAAGAGAGAGAGAGAGAGAGAGAGCAGAGAGCAGAGAGAGAGAGCAGAGAGAGAGAGAGCAGAGAGAGAGAGAGCAGAGAGAGAGAGAGCAGAGAGAGAGAGAGCAGAGAGAGAGAGAGCAGAGAGAGAGAGAGCAGAGAGAGAGAGAGCAGAGAGAGAGAGAGCAGAGAGAGAGAGAGCAGAGAGAGAGAGAGCAGAGAGAGAGAGAGCAGAGAGAGAGAGAGCAGAGAGAGAGAGAGCAGAGAGAGAGAGAGCAGAGAGAGCAGAGAGAGCAGAGAGAGCAGAGAGAGCAGAGAGAGCAGAGAGAGCAGAGAGAGCAGAGAGAGCAGAGAGAGCAGAGAGAGCAGAGAGAGCAGAGAGAGCAGAGAGAGCAGAGAGAGCAGAGAGAGCAGAGAGAGCAGAGAGAGCAGAGAGAGCAGAGAGAGCAGAGAGAGCAGAGAGAGCAGAGAGAGCAGAGAGAGCAGAGAGAGCAGAGAGAGCAGAGAGAGCAGAGAGAGCAGAGAGAGCAGAGAGAGCAGAGAGAGCAGAGAGAGCAGAGAGAGCAGAGAGAGCAGAGAGAGCAGAGAGAGCAGAGAGAGCAGAGAGAGCAGAGAGAGCAGAGAGAGCAGAGAGAGCAGAGAGAGCAGAGAGAGAGAGAGAGAGAGAGAGCAGAGAGATAATATACTCTAGTATGATGAACTTTTTATGTATCTAAGCTTTGTTATGAAAGGACTGAGCGGCTAAATGTTTGACTAACTACACATAAATTATGTTTAATAATAATTGCTTTAACGTAATCCATAGGAATAATGAAAAAACAATGCTTGGATCCATTAAAATTCTATTTGCAATATCTAGCTTATTAATAGTCATATTGTCTGTTATAAACGTCGAATAACCAATGATTAATGTAATCGATATCACAAGATTCCAGAGAAGAAGGTTTATTTCGTCGACCAGGGCATCGATTTTTAAGGGACCAGATTCTTAATTCTTTGAAAAAAGGCGAGAAGCTGCAAATCTCGAATACGCCCGAAGTAGCGAAAGAATGTGCCGCAGCTTTGCATTTGTACTTGACGCAAATGAAAACGCCAGTGATGCCGAAACGAATACAAGAGTTACTGCTCGGTAATAGTCATCGATCTTTTTCTTTTTGAAATTTCCTCCTAATTGATTGTGTCGATTAACATTTTGTAGTCGACCGTGCGCGACTGTCCAATTTCACGTATTTTGACAAGCCGTAGAAATTATATATCATTAATTATTTAACCATTCGAATTGTCAATTAAAATTAATCGGTCATAATGTTATTGGCATTGCTTAATTGCTCTTTTGGATATTACGCAAATGAAAATTTAAGCAACATATTGCTGTACAGGAAGTCGGTGTAAATATATAAAGTTTACGAATACGCGAACATCAACGTCGACAATTTTACCGATTACAACATAAAATTATATGTAAATTTACCTGGATTTTTAATTATTAAATGGCCGCATACACACAAACGGCAAATAATACATATATTACGTAATAATAAATTTCTTTCTATATAATAAATAAAGAAATTTAACCTTGACAATTATTGATTTAACAGGATTACACACTCTTGTAAAGTAAACGATTGCTTATATTATTATTATTATTATTATTATTATTATTATTATTATTATTATTATTTAATAAATATTGATTGAAAGATAATCATAACCTTAAAATTGTGAAATTTATTTTGTAAGACGATAATGCGCGAGAAGAAAAAAATCCAGTGCCACGAATTCGCGTAACGCGTTTTAATGAATTCATAAGAATAATAAGGTCGATTAGAACTATTATTGAAAATCCGAGTGATAATGATCTTAAAATACCAAGGCCTGCTTTTTTTTTAAATTGTTTATTGAAGCGGACAATCCGGGAATAACGGCTCACGTCATAGCTCTCGACGCTCTGGGCTTAATTCGCCAGGATGTTATAGGGCGGCACAGCGAACTCCTCGTGGATCTCCTGGAGCTCTTAAGGCATTTGTCGATATTCCCGCCGCCATCGGAGCGCACTGAATTACAAGCGCCTACTCTGGTGGCAACGTTTTTGCCAGTTTTCTTTAACTTTACGGTATGCTGCTTTAATATTCATTGTTATTAATTGTTCGATATCAGCCTGTGTCCTTGTTAAATATCGTAATCGGCCAACCATTGTATTTGCAATGAATATTCGGCTCTAATTAAACGCTCTATGGAGCTTGAGTATTTCGCTCGGACAAATTTTAAATATCCATTAATTAATTATAAGTAGTGTATCGTTTAATTGATACCCAAAAGCACGTTTATGCTATCTAATATTACACAAACTATTGGACATACAAACACATAAAAATTGATATTGTCGTTTTATTATTAGAGTAATTGATTTAATATTAAAATACAGCCCGATGACATTGTACAGTGGCGTCAAGTGGCTTCAAGATTAAACGAGCTCATCATCGAAGCTCCTAAGCAATTAGTACAAAAGAAGGAACAATCATTGGCAAATAATACAGAAATGACTTTGAACGAATCAAATTCATTCTCAAGATTTAGAGAGCTATCAGTATTTTATCCATTCATCAGATTTATGGAGAATAGAAATGGTTGTGGGTCAATACGTCAATAAATAAAATTTAAAAAAAAGAAAAAAATTATATTCAACGTATATTTTACAGATAGAAATTCGCAAATACCAAGAACCTTTAGTGGGGCACTTCGACGACCTCTAGCTGGAAGACTTCATCCAGTTATTTTACGATCTCGAACATGATTATTTAAATGTACCGATAATTAACGAGACAAATCAAACAAAAACAAAAAACCAAAAAAACAAAAAAAAAAAAAAACAAACAAACAAACAAACAAAAATAAAATAATAAGAATTTGTATAAATAACATTTATTGTTCGTCATTTATTAAAAATATACAGATAAAGATTGAATTTTTTTTTTCTTCCACGAATTATTTATTTTTGTCACGCACGACAAATTTTTAAGAATCATAAAAAATAGAATACACATTTATATTTAAATGTTTATACTCTTCATATAAAACAATTACATTTTAAACGTTATAATAATAACAAAAAGTAATGCGTGTATACAAGATATGCTACAAGTTGCATAAAATGTAATAATAGTACTGTACAAGTTTTTCTACGGTTTTAGCAAATTCTGTTGCTTCGTTTCAACATTAAAAAAAAAAAAAAAAAAAAAAAAAAAAAAAAAAAAAAAAAAAAAAAAAAAAATAAAATTACGATTAAACTATTACATTTTTGTCAAAGTTTCGATCTAGGAACGTCCAGAGGCTTGTTCGCGACGTCCAAAAGTTCAGTCCACCAACTAGCTCTTTCCGATCCACTTGGATAACATCGGAACGCTTCTTCGAGACGTTCGTAAACCTACAAAGTCATTAAAATGATTAAGTAATTGTAAATAAAAGTTCGCTCTTTCTCTACGCTCTCATAAATACCATACCTTCCCATCAGACATGCCTAAAACGGAATTCAAAACAAAATCTGGTGGAGCTAATGCGTCAGCTATCGCAATAGCCTCCGGTTTTAATTCAGCGCATAACAATAAAATATTTTCTTTCACTAAGTCGGCCATATCGGGTCCAGTGCAATAACCACCTGAAAATAAATTATCCCACAATATATTGATTGTGGAAAGTAATTATGATTTTTATAATTGAATTTATACGTTGATAGAATGTGACATTTGTCTCGCTTCTCTACCAACCTTGATAAAAAATGGATAAATATTTTTCAAGACACTTTAAAGAGAATAACAGTATTAGCTTATCCAGTACATTCCTAAGTGTCTCGGCTTCTGGCTCTGGGGGAACTAATTTTTTTATTCTGGCAGTGCAGTAATCCAATACAATCATCTGAAAATCATATTTCACTTTTTTAATTCTTTTTTTCTTGTGGCTGTTTTTTTTTGTTTTGCTTTTTTTTGTTTTGTTTTGTTTTGTTTTGTTTTTTTTGTTTTAAACGTGAAATTATGCATGCGCCGACAATCGTTATTCTTTACAGTAGATTTATTGGAAATATACGCAACGACATTGATTAATTATAATGTGAATAACCTGATATATATGTTATGTATATATATATATATTGGTTTGGATATAAAAATCGGTATTTATATGAGCTATCGAATGTTCAAGGTTTATAAACGTATACGATGCAAGTAATTAATTTTTACGTACATTTTTTAATTTCCTTAGCGTTGAAATAAAAACAGATATTTGTAAATTTTAATATTTAGCTACGAATAATTTGAGGACTCGTAGTATCTACGTATCGCTATTATGTTTTGGGAGTTGATAAAAATATGATTTGACAAGCCGGCTACTTCAATTTGGCTTACAATTTATTTTTTAAATAAAAATATTTTATCAAAGTAAGATTTTAAAACAGGATGCACGTATTACGTAGTACGGGCACACAAATATATTAATGCAATGCCAAACTGTTGAAACTATTGAATGAAATGTATATAAAAAATAAAATTATTAAATTTGTTTATTTGTTTTTCAATTTCATAAATATTATGATAAAATATTGCACATCTTATATATATATATATATATATATATATATACTCAGAAAATAAAAGTTTTATAAAACTTGAAAAATTCAATTCAAGGACTGATTGATATATCTTTTTGACGACTCATAAGAACTATCATCTCATTTATTGTTAAACTTTATTATAAAACGTTCAACATATTTTAAGCAGCGATGCTGCATATTGTATATAATATTTATTGAAATTTAATTTAATCGAAAGCCGAAGAAGCTTCAACAATGTTTTAAAACACAAAGTGCAACAATCGAGTAAAAAATTTACCTAAGATAAACATTAAAGCATACATTTATATATTATTAATCACGAACCTCTCCGTAGGCTCTGGTAAGATTTGCAGCTCTGTAGACTTGCGACTTACTGCGGGCCATGAAGTGATTCGCACCACTGGCGATCTCCTTGTCATATCTTCGTTGTGTGTCGATAACCAGCCACGTTATTAACCACTCATAAGCGTCTCTGACTACTGCGGAATCGATACCATTACTATATTAGTCACTATATGAGCTCTTACGTTGTCAAGGAAAGAACTTCTGGTATTTAACCATAAAAAAGACCAATCTAAGGCAATTTGAGACGTTGGATTCTATAAAGGAATGCTAAATTTTCTTTTAAGCTCTTTTCATATACATTAAGGGTAGAAGATGATAACTCTTAATGCACTGTTATATAACAGTATTATGGTTTCATAAAGAGAACAATATATATATATATATATATATATACACATAATGGTAATTCAAATTCATTAGTTAACTCTATTATTTAGAAGCTTATTTAGAGCAATAAGAGGTATAATGTTATTTTGCCAATCTGTCGATGAGGAAATTATATAGTGGCTATACTTATTTACAATTGCACGTAAGCTGTATAATTATAGATTTAAAGTTTGAAATGAATTTTAAAAAATACTTTGCTGTCAGAAGCACAATTTCTTTTTCACTCAAGTTTTTTGTTTTTTTTTTTTTTTTTTTACATCGAACATTAGTAACTTCTACCCTTAAGAAATAAACACTGATTTCAGTGTAATACACTTACATTCCAGTGTTAATCTTGATTTCATTTTAGATTCAAATTTCCTTCGTAGAATTGCGGGACCTTTAATAAGAAACTGAACAGAAGCAAGAGGACTAACTAAAGTTGATCCACCTTGCAAATCATTCCACTGCCTTAGTATCCAATTACTACTTTGCTGAGCAAGTACATTATTATCACCTTCGTAAGTAACGGAAGGTTCGTGATTAGCAGCCATATCACCTAAAGCAGCAGCTGAAAACATTTGAAAAAAAAAAATAATAATAATAAATAGTTTTAGTATAAACCAATTATTGAAAAAGAGGTATACAAAAACAAACGTATTATGTAATAAATTTATAACAAATTTCTCATTAGCATATATACATATGTTAGAAATCACGATTGTAGTACACACACACACACACACACACACACACACACACACACACAGAGAGAGAGAGAGAGAGAGAGAGAGAGAGACAGACACACAGACAGACACAAAATATAATAATATGATGATGATGATGCTTTTGCTCTATTATGCGTAAATAAAGTTAATAAAAATCTGAGCATTCGTGCTTAAATAAAGCAATTTATATTATTAAGTCAATTTATTTATTATTACTTTGATTGAATCTTTGATAAATGAATGATACAACAATTACATAACTTATGAAATTCAAATTCGGAATTTGTCAACGCAATGCCAATATATTAAATTGATTTAAGTGATTATAATTTACTTTTGTGGTATCCGTGTCCTCCGCAAGCCTCTCTGCACTCTTTTAACGCATCTCGACAGGTCCATGTAATTAACGGTTTTATCGCTGACACAATACAATGTATTTCGGATACAATTTGACTCTACATAAAAGAGTTCTAGTTAGGCAATAAAATACTCGTGTAATTATAATAAAATGAATGGAGGCAAAGGGAATCTTACAAGATTTGGAATATTTCCACTCTCCATCGACTTCTGTACATTTTCCAAATATACGGTTGTAAATTCTGACATGAAGATTCTAAATACACAAGCTGCAGCTAAGTAGGGAAAAAGCCTCCATTGCTAAAAACATTAGATTGGTATACATGTTTTGTTTTGTTTTGTTTTGTTTTTTTCTTTTTTCATAAATTACTTCATAAAGTGTAAGATAACTCGATTTGACTTACGTGCAATTGATATTCAATAATGGGAATCTCTTCATTATCGAAATTCGAATTTAAGGACGAGAACTGTTTACGCACCGCGGCATATCTTATAGCTATGATTACCGCAGCACCGAGTCTATTAGTGGATTCTTGACAAATTCCCATCCGACCAGCAGATAAATTTTCTAATACAGCGCCTTTAAAGATACATGCAACTCTGTTAAATATATCGATTGGTAAAAATTTTCAGCTACGTTTTCTAATTCACCGTACCTAATATTCGTTGAGGATCCGAGAAGGAACTTTCGTATTCTCCCTCAGCGGTTACATCTCCCGTTCTATTTAATAAATTGTCCTTTGGTATTCTATAATTATTGAACATTATACAGCCGTTGTCTATACCGTTGAGTCCATTTTTTTCGCCAAGGTCACCTACTATGACACCAGGATAAGGTATGTATGTCTTGGGATCCCTTACAGGAACGACAAAGGCATGAAGTCCATGATTCGTTTCTTGTGTTATTAATTGGGCAAATACAATTGCTACCGTCGCTGTTTTTCCTACAATGTAACACACGAAGTTTATTATTAATGTCTGAAGATGTATCGATCGTCGATTCAATATTCCATTGGTTAAGCAGATTATATTCTGCTGCGATCACGAGGACATTAATTTACTTCGGCAAAACAATTAGAAAAATTAAGTTAAACCGTATTTAATCCGATCGTTGCTAAATTATTCGCATGCTTCTCAATATTGAAAAACAAAACAAAAACAAAACACCTTGCGTTATATTATCGTCATAAAAAAAAAAAAAAAAAAAATGAACTTTATATCGAATTTTTACCTAAATTACCAATCCAGCATTTAGCAGCGTGGAAATCAGGCGTATGAAGGACAAAAGTTTGAGAAGCCGGTTCATACGTAGCCGTGGTGCGCATCATTTTTGTGTTACTTCCATGGCCAACTTCGGTGAGGGCAAAGCAGCCCAACAGCTACAAATAACAAATTATTCGTTAATTCATTGAATCGTTTTGTCGTATGTGCGTGTGCGTGTGCGCGTGCGCGCACGATTAAGCAAGTATATTATAAATCATAACGAGACCTAAACGAAAAATTGCTATTTGCAAAATTTACCTGTTTGTTCCAAACTGCCTGAAAAATCGGATGGTGTCGGTCTGTTCCGAGGCTCAAAATCGTATTGCCGAAAAGATAAACTCCGAGGGCAATTTTAACGGACAGCATTGGATCAACCATACACGTAGCTTCGTTCAACGTCATCATAAATCCTGTCTGAGGAATAAACTCGTCATAATAAATTCGAATTTAAGACTTTTTTGCCAAAAGAAATTGGCATGCGAAATTACCTTAGTGCTGTAATTCAACTGGCTTATGATACCTGGCAAAAGTTTTTGATGGTGAAGACGTGCCAATTGCCTCGCCGACCGCCTCTTTTGCTCATCCGCACTCAAGGTCACACCGTGCGAAGGGTGAAATTCTGGATCGGCTTCCATTGCTTTCCATAAGCGCAACTAAGTACATGCAATACATACATGTTTATATATATATTAGAAATTTTTTTTTATAGAACGGGAGCTTTACGGGAAGCTTCATTTGTATAATCCAAACACTTTATATAAATTTATCAATAATTATTGCAATTATTCATTTATTGAAATATTGATTCTATTTATAACTTAATTATTAATAGATGTTTTTGATTAACGAGTAATTGTCAAACAAAAATTTACGCGTCAATTAATTACTTACATAATTAAATTATTTTCTTAATGTTTTCAAGATTTATGCGCAGATTGGCGCTTTATTTGCAAACTTTCCATTCGCTAATGAAAATTATAATTTCTTTATACCATTGTTGCTGAACCTTTCATACTGATATGTTATCAATACTCGATACCTTGGAATATAATCATGATGTAATGTTATTACAATCATTATAACCTTATAGAAAATTGCTTTAACGAATAAACGACTTCATATTAATTTGCACATGAAGATTATTGTTGATAATATAATATAATTAATACTAAATTATTTGTAAGTTAATTTATATGTAAGGGTAAACAGAGCGTGGCGTGATACATAATATGTCGAGAATTATGAATGTTTTGGAAAAAAATATTTATTTTATAAAAAAAACTTAATAAATTTTGTTTAGAATTATAAGGAATTAATATTACATTCCCATGTTAATATATATATATATATATATATATATATATATATACACACATATATATATTTATCTTCTTGTTAAAATCTGATCAACGTGTGCTGCTCTTTTATTTTCAATTCCAAGGACTTAGGCATTAATATTAATGAGTGAGATTCAACGATATTCCGAATATAATATTTAAAAGGATATATTAAGTATTGCACTTCATTAGGAAATGCTAATATTTTTTATTTTTCTCTCGTTATTTATTTAAAATATATTCCTAATCATTTTAAAAGCATTCTTTTATGCATGTCAACGAATAATATTAATGTTTTATAAATGCAAATAAATCACTTCAAAATCACGTTGTAAAATAGCAACCATCTTTTTCGCCTATAAACCATTATTAGTTTTTTTTTTATTTTTTTTTTAAGCGTAATAAGCTTGGTACCTTATTTGGTATAATTCTTTTAATAAAAACCTTCTAGAATACAGTGTCGCAATATTCTTTTTCCTCAAATAATTCACACACAATCAATATTTATTAATGCTAGCTATTTATATACACAAATCTTTACATAAATTATTTTTAAATTAAATCTTACTTTGAAGTTATTTGATAGATTTCATTAAAAATTGGTAACAATAATTTGCTCCAGAATCTCACGATATATTATTTCCTTTAATCTTCCACTCTGCACGCGATGCATAAATATTTTCAATTATTGACTATCGCATTATTAATCCTTTTAAATTATTCATTAATTAATCTGTCAATCTGTACAAGACATCCTCAAGCTGTATAATACATATTTTTAAAGTATATCGTTAGTATGCAATCAGGTATTGTACACATCGTCATGTTTTAATTAATTATTCGTAATGAGTTATAAATATTTGATTGTTTATCAACATAATTCTTATTTAAACGTGTCCGAACGTTAAAAAAAAAGTAAAAAATAGTTTTTTTTTCAAGATATATACCTTTCAATCCTTCTCAATTAAATGTAATAGTAATAGTATATATATATATATATATATATATATATATATATATATATAGTCGGATTTTCAAACACTATTAGAGATGTTAAAAATTCGTTATATTTTAAAAATTATAATCAAATACTAATAGAAAATGAATTTCATGACGAAATGAAGGATGCCAAAATAAAATTTTGTTTCAAATCGCAACAACGTGTTCAATAAAATTCATTAATTTTTAGTTTTTATCGATTGAATTTGAAACACTTTATTTAGTTTTTGAGATTAAATCCTTAAATCCTATTAGATATAAATATAGTAAGTAGTGCCAATGTAATTCGAAACAATAGTACGTGCTTTTTCGTATTTTATGTTTTTCTAGACGATCCTCAAAAATTATAATCAGACTGCGACTCGACTGCATTCATAATGAAAGAACAAAAATATGTTAAATAACACTCGATAAAGTTATCGTTAAAAATCATACTTTCGAATCGAACTTGGAATTAACAACTCTGTAATCGAAAATAACGCGCTTGTACACTGACGAAAAAACAAATTAACAAATTTCATGTAATAATAATTACTTTGAATAGGGGGCTTTTTTCATCATCAAAGAAGAAATTATTTATGTTAGAGTTAAATATAAAAATACAATCATTAATCATCACTTTTGAAAGTTTGGCGTTAGATTAATTTTTATAAATTAATCTTGAATATTTCTCGTCTCCTTTAAAAATCAATCAGTCTTTGAAAAGAAAATGGTATTATATATACGAATAACGTTCGCCCAAGTCCAGGAACGAATAATTATTACCTTGAGTCGTATGGCGTCCGGATCCTCGAGGACGATACGAAGTCGCTTCCAGCAGAAGGAGGCGTCGGCCCTGTACTTGGCGAGGTCGCCACCCGGTGGCATATCCTCGAGCCATCGGATATCCTCTTGGAAAACGTGCCTCGTCGGCGATCTAGCCGTGGCAGCGGGCATGGCTTCGAAGGTGTCCTTGATATTCCCTGCGCCGATAAATTATCGCTCGTGAGTACATGGTTTCGCGGATTGCGCGTACTTTCGAGGGAAATCGTTCGAATCGTATGAATTTAAAGGAGGAGGAGGGTACTCGAGGGACGACGTAATGGACCTTTTAACCACCACCCGACCATCGGTGTTTCGATGGGATTGGCGTTGGGATTTACGATGACTCTTTAATAAATTGATTTTTTTTTTTTTTTTTTTTTTTTTTTTTTTTTTTACGAGAGTTTAATAATTAATTCTATTAGAATTTTTAAAAGACGTTGAAGGCAATATACTCTTCTTTTTGAATTTAATTATCGAGGGGAGAATGGATATCCTGATGCAATTCACAAGGCCTTTTCATTTTCCAAGAATATTGACCGAATCCCCTCTTATAATTTAATTGAGAATATGATTCTTGTAGTTTGATTATTACTATTACTATTACTATTGCTATTACTATTATTATTACTATTATTATTACCATTATTATTATTATTATTATTATTATTATTATTATTATTATTATTTTACTTAATTATTTGATTTATTATTCGTTGAAATAGTTGTGCGACTCTTATATTGCGACAATTTTGATATATTTGCAAATCAATATGTTAGAATTGAAAGAAGAGCCGGTGAATTATTGAATTGGGTATTGAATTGGATATAGAGTTGGCAAGCGGCAATTTATAAACGAGAGCTTTCGTATTATCACAATCATGTTCACCATTCCATAAATCTACAACAGCACAAACACAGCATAAAGCGTTATCAGCGAACGTTACAGGGTAAGTAAGTGCGCACACTTCGTTTATCCACACAATGAATAAGTAGACCGAGCTAAAACCATTCGACTAATATCACTAATGTGATAAGCTAAGCCAATAACGAATTATAAGCTCCAACATACTTTTGGCAACTACTGTACTCGCGCTAAGTTTCAAAATCTATCTCGTAAATTTAAAATCAACGTAGCGAGAACAATCGTCAATTACGTAAGATTGACCCGAGGAATTATTGGCTATCGAGTTTTAACGGCCGATCATGCTCGTATAAACACGATGAACGATCGCATCGCAATCGGTCAACTCGCTTTACACGCCCGTTAAACCTTTGAAATCCAACGATGGGCGCGCGATTCGACAGCAGGAGCAGGAGGTGCGATATCGACGATAGTCGTCGCCATAGAGTCAAGACCGATGCGATCAAGTGCGAACGTGCCGACGACGAACTATTAAAGACTGCGATCCCCTCCCACCCAACCCAACCCAACCCAACCCAATCCCTCCACTATGCCTCCTACTCACCAAGATGCGTGCCTCGTGAGATTCGTCTCTCTGGCTGAAATCGAAGACGAGGTGATTTTTCACGGCGAGCTCTTAAATTATTTGGCCACGCGTCGTCGTTATTCTCATAACGCTACATCGGAGGTGGATAAAGCTTCGCGTTCTTAATCTTATCGCTCTCTCACCGCTTAGCAGCACTGGACGACACGAGCGCTAAGCTTTTTCTTCTCTAAGTGCATCGTGGGGGCACACATGGTGGGAGCGTTCCTGGGAATGCGTTTACTTGGCTAAAGTGCCGGTAACGCGCAACCGATTATCTGCTGAGGTTCTTACGTACGACTCGACGGTTACGCACACGTCACACTGGTTATTTATATTTGTTATTACTCGATGGCGAGAGAAGTGGCACAAGGAGGGTCGCGCTTTATCGATCATCCCGATAACAATAACAATAACAACAACAACAACAACAACAATAACAACAACGACGACAACGACGACGACGACAACAACAACAACAACAACAACAACAACAACAACAGGTCGCCTAAAATTTACAGCAAAAAGAATTTTAACGATGCCTCCGTGTTACGATTCAAACGCGACCCACATGAGCTAGCGCGAGCACTCGTCGTGTAAAGCATTTTACACAATCGAGTCGTCGC